GAAAGTCGAGTAGGAGGCAAAGAAAGTCGGTAGGAGGCAAAGAAAGTCGGGAGGAGGCAAAGAAAGTCGGTAGGAGGCAAAGAAAGTCGGTAGGAGGCAAAGAAAGTCGGAGGAGGCAAAGAAAGTCGGAGGAGGCAAAGAAAGTCGGGAGGAGGCAAAGAAAGTCGGTAGGAGGCAAAGAAAGTCGGTAGGAGGCAAAGAAAGTCGGGAGGAGGCAAAGAAAGTCGGTAGGAGGCAAAGAAAGTCGGGAGGAGGCAAAGAAAGTCGGTAGGAGGCAAAGAAAGTCGGTAGGAGGCAAAGAAAGTCGGTAGGAGGCAAAGAAAGTCGGGTAGGAGGCAAAGAAAGTCGGTAGGAGGCAAAGAAAGTCGGTAGGAGGCAAAGAAAGTCGGTAGGAGGCAAAGAAAGTCGGGGAGGCAAAGGAAAGAAAGTCGGTAGGAGGCAAAGAAAGTCGGTAGGAGGCAAAGAAAGTCGGTAGGAGGCAAAGAAAGTCGGTAGGAGGCAAAGAAAGTCGGTAGGAGGCAAAGAAAGTCGGTAGGAGGCAAAGAAAGTCGGTAGGAGGCAAAGAAAGTCGGGAGGAGGCAAAGAAAGTCGGTAGGAGGCAAAGAAAGTCGGTAGGAGGCAAAGAAAGTCGGTAGGAGGCAAAGAAAGTCGGGAGGAGGCAAAGAAAGTCGGGAGGAGGCAAAGAAAGTCGGTAGGAGGCAAAGAAAGTCGGTAGGAGGCAAAGAAAGTCGGGAGGAGGCAAAGAAAGTCGGGAGGAGGCAAAGAAAGTCGGAGGAGGCAAAGAAAGTCGGTAGGAGGCAAAGAAAGTCGGAGGAGGCAAAGAAAGTCGGGAGGAGGCAAAGAAAGTGGGTAGGAGGCAAAGAAAGTCGGAGGCAAAGAAAGTCGGTAGGAGGCAAAGAAAGTCGGTAGGAGGCAAAGAAAGTCGGGAGGAGGCAAAGAAAGTCGGTAGGAGGCAAAGAAAGGGTAGGAGGCAAAGAAAGTCGGGAGGAGGCAAAGAAAGTCGGTAGGAGGCAAAGAAAGTCGGGAGGAGGCAAAGAAAGTCGGGAGGAGGCAAAGAAAGTCGGTAGGAGGCAAAGAAAGTCGGGAGGAGGCAAAGAAAGTGGTAGGAGGCAAAGAAAGTCGGGAGGAGGCAAAGAAAGTCGGTAGGAGGCAAAGAAAGTCGGGAGGAGGCAAAGAAAGTCGGTAGGAGGCAAAGAAAGTCGGGAGGAGGCAAAGAAAGTCGGGAGGAGGCAAAGAAAGTCGGTAGGAGGCAAAGAAAGTCGGTAGGAGGCAAAGAAAGTCGGGAGGAGGCAAAGAAAGTCGGTAGGAGGCAAAGAAAGTCGGGAGGAGGCAAAGAAAGTCGGTAGGAGGCAAAGAAAGTCGGGAGGAGGCAAAGAAAGTCGGTAGGAGGCAAAGAAAGTCGGGAGGAGGCAAAGAAAGTCGGTAGGAGGCAAAGAAAGTCGGTAGGAGGCAAAGAAAGTCGGGAGGAGGCAAAGAAAGTCGGTAGGAGGCAAAGAAAGTCGGGAGGAGGCAAAGAAAGTCGGGAGGAGGCAAAGAAAGTCGGTAGGAGGCAAAGAAAGTCGGGAGGAGGCAAAGAAAGTCGGTAGGAGGCAAAGAAAGTCGGTAGGAGGCAAAGAAAGTCGGTAGGAGGCAAAGAAAGTCGGGAGGAGGCAAAGAAAGTCGGGTAGGAGGCAAAGAAAGTCGGGAGGAGGCAAAGAAAGTCGGTAGGAGGCAAAGAAAGTCGGGAGGAGGCAAAGAAAGTCGGTAGGAGGCAAAGAAAGTCGGGAGGAGGCAAAGAAAGTCGGTAGGAGGCAAAGAAAGTCGGTAGGAGGCAAAGAAAGTCGGTAGGAGGCAAAGAAAGTCGGGAGGAGGCAAAGAAAGTCGGGAGGAGGCAAAGAAAGTCGGTAGGAGGCAAAGAAAGTCGGGAGGAGGCAAAGAAAGTCGGGAGGAGGCAAAGAAAGTCGGGAGGAGGCAAAGAAAGTCGGGAGGAGGCAAAGAAAGTCGGTAGGAGGCAAAGAAAGTCGGAGGAGGCAAAGAAAGTCGGGAGGAGGCAAAGAAAGTCCGGGAGGAGGCAAAGAAAGTCGGAGGAGGCAAAGAAAGTCGGTAGGAGGCAAAGAAAGTCGGGTAGGAGGCAAAGAAAGTCGGGGAGGCAAAGAAAGTCGGTAGGAGGCAAAGAAAGTCGGTAGGAGGCAAAGAAAGTCGGGAGGAGGCAAAGAAAGTCGGTAGGAGGCAAAGAAAGTCGGGAGGAGGCAAAGAAAGTCGGTAGGAGGCAAAGAAAGTCGGTAGGAGGCAAAGAAAGTCGGGAGGAGGCAAAGAAAGTCGGTAGGAGGCAAAGAAAGTCGGGAGGAGGCAAAGAAAGTCGGTAGGAGGCAAAGAAAGTCGGGAGGAGGCAAAGAAAGTCGGTAGGAGGCAAAGAAAGTCGGGAGGAGGCAAAGAAAGTCGGGAGGAGGCAAAGAAAGTCGGTAGGAGGCAAAGAAAGTCGGTAGGAGGCAAAGAAAGTCGGGAGGAGGCAAAGAAAGTCGGTAGGAGGCAAAGAAAGTCGGGAGGAGGCAAAGAAAGTCGGTAGGAGGCAAAGAAAGTCGGGAGAGGCAAAGAAAGTCGGTAGGAGGCAAAGAAAGTCGGGAGGAGGCAAAGAAAGTCTAGGAGGCAAAGAAAGTCGGTAGGAGGCAAAGAAAGTCGGAGGAGGCAAAGAAAGTCGGGTAGGAGGCAAAGAAAGTCGGGAGGAGGCAAAGAAAGTCGGTAGGAGGCAAAGAAAGTCGGGTAGGAGGCAAAGAAAGTCGGGAGGAGGCAAAGAAAGTCGGTAGGAGGCAAAGAAAGTCGGGAGGAGGCAAAGAAAGTCGGTAGGAGGCAAAGAAAGTCGGTAGGAGGCAAAGAAAGTCGGTAGGAGGCAAAGAAAGTCGGGAGGAGGCAAAGAAAGTCGGTAGGAGGCAAAGAAAGTCGGGAGGAGGCAAAGAAAGTCGGGAGGAGGCAAAGAAAGTCGGGAGGAGGCAAAGAAAGTCGGTAGGAGGCAAAGAAAGTCGGTAGGAGGCAAAGAAAGTCGGTAGGAGGCAAAGAAAGTCGGAGGAGGCAAAGAAAGTCGGAGGAAGAAGAGGAAGAAGTCGGTAGGAGGCAAAGAAAGTCGGGAGGAGGCAAAGAAAGTCGGTAGGAGGCAAAGAAAGTCGGGAGGAGGCAAAGAAAGTCGGTAGGAGGCAAAGAAAGTTGGTAGGAGGCAAAGAAAGTCGGGAGGAGGCAAAGAAAGTCGGGAGGAGGGAGTATGTGGGGCAGGATCAGCACATGGGCATCAGGGGATGTCGTGCTGGTTTCAGCTCCCCTGAGCTTTCACCTGACACTTCCCCTGAAACCCTACTCACAAACGTTCTAAGCCCTGCTGCCCATGTCTGCTAGAATTCAAGCATTTCACCTGAAATCTCACCTGACATCTCGCCTGACATTTCGTCTGACATTTCACCTGACATCTCACCTGATGTCCACCACATGCAGCAGCACAGATGCCTCGGTGATTTCCTCCAGAGTGGCTCGAAAGGCTGCCACCTGGCACGAGATCATTGGATGGTTGGGATTCACACGCATGCACCACGCATCAGGCAACGGCGTATTAGAGCATTGCAAATGGAGGGGCAGTAGAGTGCTAAAGGGCGCCAAGAGGGGGTGCAGAGCGGTGCAGAACAGTGAAGAGAGATGAAGGAGAAGAGGCAGAGGGCCCCTTCCCCACGTCAGCTGCGTGCCCCCTTCCCCCATCCCACCACCTGCCCTCTATCCCCCCTCCCATCCCACCACCTGCCCTCTATCCCCCCTCCCATCCCACCACCTGCCCTCGCCCCTGGGCTCGGCTCACCAGCTGCGTTGGCAGCTTCTGAATGAAGCCCACGGTGTCCGTCAGCAGACACTCCTTACCGTTGGGCAGCTGTTGAAAGAGGGGAGGGGGGGGGGGGGAGAGGAGGTAAGTGTGAATGGGGTAAGGAGGAGGTGAATGAAGGCCACCGTGTACGTCAGCCGGCACTCCTTGCTGTTGGGCAGCTGGGGGGACGGTGGAGGGGAGAGGGGAGGGGCGAGGAGGGATGGAATCGGGCCAAAAGGGGTAATGAGTGCTGCTCCATAGAAGACATAGGCATACGGCCAGGCATAGGGCCAGTCGAAAGACACGGCTTGGTGCTCTTGTTCCGGCGCTGGAGAAAGGAAGCGCTGAGCAGCAGATAGAGACAGGGCAAGAGACAGCAAGCTCGCACCTGGGCGCCGCGGGTGGTGGGGTCCAGAGTAGCGAACAGCGCGCCGGCGCCCTTTGGGCGGTTGAGCAGCGTGGTCCTGCCCCACCGGGGACAGCACGCAGAGCACGAAAGAGACAAGAGCCATGCACCTGGGCGCGCCGAGTGGTGGGGTCGAGCGTGGCGAAGAGCTTGAGCTCCGTCAGCACGGCAGCACCCGTGAGACGGCTGAGCAGCAGAGGAGAGTGCGAGGAGCGCGAGGGGTGCAAGGGGCACCCACCTGGGTGCGGCGAGTGGTGGGGTCAAGGGTGGCAAAGAGCTTGTCTTCCGCCAGCACGGCGGCGCCCGTGAGGCGGTTGAGCAGCGTGCTCTTGCCGGCGTTGGTGTACCCCACCAGTGACAGCACCGGGATGGGCGTGCCGCTGCGCCGGTCGCGGTGCTGCTGCCGGTGCTCCCGAACTGATGTGAGGCTGCGGCGCAGCGCAGCCATCTGTGAAGCGGGTTGGGAGGCAGAGGGAGCATGGGCGAAGGATAGAGGATGAAAAATCCTGACCACAGATTGCGGTGCTGCAGGTGGTGCTGCGGCAGCGATGAGAGGCTGCAGCGATGAGAGGCTGCAGCGATGGGAGGCTGCAGCGCAGGGCAACCATCCGGTGAAAGGGAAGGGAGGGAAGAGGGGGGGTGGGAGAGGGAGGAGGGAGGGTGAAGACAAGGGAGAAACAGCAGGGACCTCGAAACGAGCTCGCATCCCTTTCATACACCCCCTCCCCCCTCCAAACCCATCTCCCCCCCCTCCGTTTTTTCTACCCCTCTCCTTCTCACCCGTTCTCTGATTATGGCCTTGTCCAACTCCATCTGCTTCTCCCCCATGCCCTTCCCCATGCCCTCCCCCATGCCCTTCCCCATACCCCTGTTGGGCTGCCACCCTCCCTCACCCCCACACACTCCCTCCCTTCTCACCCGTTCTCGGATGATCCGTTTATCCACTTCGATTCGATCTGCTTCTCCCCCATGCCCTCCCTCCCCCATGCCGTGTCAAGTCAACCCATCCTCCCCCTTCCCTCATCCCCCCACACTCAACCCTCACCCACCCGCTCGCGGATGATGCGCTTGTCCACCTCGATCTGCTTCTCCCCCATGCCCTTCACCATGCCGCCCGCCTGCCGCTCCAGATGCGTCCACATGCGCGTCAGGCGCGGCAGCTGGTACTCCAGCTGGGCCAGCTGCACCTGGGGGGCGGGACAGGGGGCAAGTAGGGAGGTTCACAAGCAGGGGGGGGCGAAGGGAAGGAAGGCATATGTTGGGAGCGCATGGAGTGCTGAGAGAGCGCCACCACACAGCAAGGTCAGCACGGCATGGCATGGCGTGGCATGGCACGGCATGGCATGGCGTGGCGTGGCATGGCATGGCATGGCATGGCATGGCGTGGCATGGCATGGCATGGCATGGCATGGCATGGTGTGGCATGGCATGGCAGGGCATGGCATGGCGCTCTTACCTGTAACGTGGCCTCCTTGGTGTTGGCGCGTTGGCTGAAGATGTCGATGAAGTCATCTCTCAATGTGATGTCAATGCCATCCCCCCATGCAAGCCCCCTCCAAGCTTCTCACTGCGAGCATTCCCCCATCCCCCACCTGCAGCGTGGCATGGCGCTCTGACCTGCAGCGTGGCATGGCGCTCTGACCTGCAGCGTGGCATGGCGCTCTGACCTGCAGCGTGGCATGGCGCTCTGACCTGCAGCGTGGCATGGCGCTCTGACCTGCAGCGTGGCATGGCGCTCTGACCTGCAGCGTGGCATGGCGCTCTGACCTGCAGCGTGGCATGGCGCTCTGACTGCAGCGTGGCATGGCGCTCTGACCTGCAGCGTGGCATGGCGCTCTGACCTGCAGCGTGGCATGGCGCTCTGACCTGCAGCGTGGCATGGCGCTCTGACCTGCAGCGTGGCATGGCGCTCTGACCTGCAGCGTGGCATGGCGCTCTGACCTGCAGCGTGGCATGGCGCTCTGACCTGCAGCGTGGCATGGCGCTCTGACCTGCAGCGTGGCATGGCGCTCTGACCTGCAGCGTGGCATGGCGCTCTGACCTGCAGCGTGGCATGGCGCTCTGACCTGCAGCGTGGCATGGCGCTCTGACCTGCAGCGTGGCATGGCGCTCTGACCTGCAGCGTGGCATGGCGCTCTGACCTGCAGCGTGGCATGGCGCTCTGACCTGCAGCGTGGCATGGCGCTCTGACCTGCAGCGTGGCATGGCGCTCTGACCTGCAGCGTGGCATGGCGCTCTGACCTGCAGCGTGGCATGGCGCTCTGACCTGCAGCGTGGCATGGCGCTCTGACCTGCAGCGTGGCATGGCGCTCTGACCTGCAGCGTGGCATGGCGCTCTGACCTGCAGCGTGGCATGGCGCTCTGACCTGCAGCGTGGCATGGCGCTCTGACCTGCAGCGTGGCATGGCGCTCTTACCTGCAGCGTGGCATGGCGCTCTGACCTGCAGCGTGGCCTCCTTGGTGTTGGCGCGCTGGCTGAAGATGTCGATGATCAGCGCCGTGCGGTCGCACACCCGCACGTCGCCCCCGAACTCCTTTTCCAAGTTGCGCAGCTGGCTGTGTGCGGGGGGGGGGGAGGGGGGTACAGGCGGAAAATAGAAGGGGAAGGAGACAATTATAGTTGGCACCATGCAGATGTATTGTGACACATAGGCAAGGGAGACACGCACAGGTATGACACACACACCCCAATCCACACACATGCACACAAAACGACATCCAACTAGACGCCCGCCCCACTCACCCCATGCTGAGCTCGTTGTCCAAGAGCACCGTCTCAACGCCCATGCCTCTGGCGCACAGGCCAACGCCCTCCAGCCCCCCACCCACCCCTCACAACCACTCACCCCTCACAACCACTCAACCCTCACAGAGCTAGCCTCAGTGAGCCCCACTGAGCCCCACTGAGCCCCAATCAGCCGCGGTGAGCACTCACCCCGCGCTGAGCTCGTCGTCGAACACCACTGTCTCAACGCCCATGCCCGTGACCGCTGCTTTCACCTCCTCCACCTTGCCCGCCCCGATGTACGTGCGCGCGTTGGGGGATGCCACTCTGGCAATCGCCCAGAGGAGAAAAAAGAGGGGAGGGGGGAGGGGGGGGGAGGGGGAGAGGGGCGCATTGTAGCGCCTTGAGTCATTGTGGTTGCTCTGACTGCCGCCCCGACCCCCTCCACCTTGCCCGCCCAGATGTACGTGCTCGCGTTGGGGAACGCCACTCTGGGATAAAGAGGAGAGGGGTTGCAGAGGAGGAGGAAAGGGAGACACGAAGAGCGTGGGCTGTATGGCCGGCCCAACGAGCCAATGACTGCTGCTGCCGCCACCTCCCCCTCCTTGCTCCACCCAGGGCGTGACTCTGGGGGGGGAGGGGGTGGGGGAAGGAGAGTGGTGGAGCGGATGAGAGGACGAGAGAAAGGGCTGCACCCCAAGGACCCCGCATCGATGCAGCGGGCATGCAGCTGTCCGCTTCGCACCGCCTACCCCTTAGAAGGTTAAAACACCCGCACTGCTGGTGCGTGGAGCGCCCGGCACGTCCAACCAACCAGCAGTCCCCTCTAGTTGGGAGAGCTCTGGCGGTGACATGGGAGAACATCTCGGCCCACGCTTCGGCTGAACTATACCACTCTGCCTCTGGTGCGCGCAGCCCACCACCTTCAGAGTCGAATCAAAAGCCCGGAGCATGGAACGGACAATGCACCATCTCGCCCCTTCACCTCTCGTGCTTGGACCCCACCACCTTGAGCCCTGCAGCTTCCGCCAGGTGCGAGAGCTCTGCTAGCGACTCAACGAGGGGGAGGAGAGGAGGGGCGGGGGAGGGATTGGGGAGAAGGGAGGA